AATAGCCTACGATGAAATAGCACCCAACGTCCGAATACTTCTTCATAAGGAGCGCTATGCTGAAATGAACACATTCGTCCTAATATAGAGCCCACCTTCATATTTAAATCCATCCACAGACCCCAAGCCGATTCTGATCACACCGTACTAGGCAAATAACCTTTCAAGGGTCCATAAATACCCCTTTTTCCTATAACTCACAGGAACAACCACCATAATCGGAGTAAACCTCCACAGTCCACAACTCAATAAACCGAGTGCCCTTTAGGCGTAAAATTCTCAAATTAGTGATACTACCACAATCTTCATACTTAGTTTAAATCTTCAATCAATCAAATGAATACATGTCGCACTTATGCAATCTTCCTGTGAGGTGCGCTCCCACGACCTTCCGTACTAGATAACGAGTCTGCACATCCATAACAGCAGTCACAAAGATGTTGTAAAGCATAATAAGAACCTGCAACCAGGATGCAAAGCCTCATACAGAAACACCGATCTCAGGTGACGCCGAAGACAATACCAGCTTGCTCTAAACATCCCAATCCTTTTCTCTGCTCATTCGAGCTCGTCACATCCTTGTCAACACCGAATCATAACCTTGATCCTCACTTCCAAATTTCATACCGTTCACTTCACCTAACATGCCAATAGGCGATAGCGCCAAAATTTCATCATAACTCCTGAACCACTAATAGGGTAAACACTTCATCACCTAGAAACTTTTTGCTTAACTCTTTCCAAGAGAACCATAGCAACACGCAAGTAACTTCTCATAACCGTAGAACATTCAAATCCTCAAGTAGTGGTCTAAACCACCTTAACCCTTCTGGGATCCGCCTACACATAACAGGCCATAGTACTTGAATACTCCCAAATAAAATCAATTACAGCGGTCGTCGAACCTCGCACGTACCGTCACAAATCACATGCATAACTCATTCACGCTGAAGAAATTGATCACCACCACCATTGTGCCAATCCAACCATGGCTAACCAATCTAGCTTCTCCTAATTTACCCTTAACTTGCCTTAGAGATAATAATGACTCCATTCAGCCCATAACGAACTCAATCCGCACTCATCCCGAGTGGCCTTGTATCACGAGACCATGTTGTCTCAAATCCCACGAACCATTTTATACCTTCCTTGTGCGCACATTCGCATCCGCAACTGGTACGCCCATCTGATAACTTCACTACGAATCCGAAGTCATTTGCTCTTCCAAATGCTACACTGCAAGTCGAAAATATCATAGAACATCCCGAGCCTCTTACCATAATCTGCCACAAAAACTCGATTCTTAACTATACCGCGAGCTTGAAATCTTTAGGCACCACAATTTAACCTTTGAACTCACAAGGACCGTTGATCACCCACTCTGGCTTGTTCCCGAATATAATCAACTCCGAGGCTCCGCTGGCACATTTATACCCATCTCAATAAAGCACCCGACTGAATCGCTTTCCAAAGCCTGATCATGAGTAATAAGGCCAACTATAGCACGCATTTATCAATTCCTTTGCTCAAATTACCACTTATGTTCTTTTCCTCTAGCTGAAATAACTTACCAGAACGCCGAACCCGAAACTTCATAAGAAGATGACCATGCTACCCAATCATAGGCGGTGGGACTCTCCCACTTAGCTTAAAGCCACCATTACACAACTCTGGAGTCCCTTAAGATTCTTTCTTCATCATTGACATGATCTTGCACTACAACTCGCCAAATTCCCCTAAATCCTTCTGTTTGACCTGCCACGAACGCTCTGAATCTCTAGCAACATTCACATATTCGACCTTTTAGTGGGTAGCCAGTGAAATTCTTCGCATAAGCTTCGCCAACCATGCGACCGCTGATCTGCTCACAGGAGATAACCCATTTGTAGAAATTACGCATCGACATCTTCCAACATCACTGCACGGGGTACAATCACTACGACATCAGTAACTCATCCTGAGTCCGTACTCATTCACCAATTGTACTAGTCCGTTCACTTCTTATGGACATCAACTAAATGTGCGACAATACCCTCCAATCGAAAGTCATGTTGTATCATTCTTCATAACAAACAACTCATTTCTATTGTATCAAATCCCCCGCCGTATAATAGCCAATAATTCAAATTAAGCTCGTAGAACCAATCACCGTCCACTATCATTCCCAAATCATTCCAAACTTCTGTAAGGCGTGTAGTCATCCTGCCATTACACCCATATACTACTCTGTCAATCTCCCACTTTGGTCAAACTCACTCCTTTAAGCAACTACTCAACTCATGTCCCCCACACTTGGCCTACCAGGAGTTTTATCACCACAAGACACTTCCCACATGTCCATCCTCATCTTTCGCTGCCCAGTCTTTGCCTTAAATTCAAATATATCTCTGTAGCACCTGAACCAGTAGATGGTTACTCCATCAACCTAAAACGGAACATTCATAGTTCGATTGTCCTCCCTCCGTCGGAAATAAAATACTAATCGCTGAATCATGCTTTGAGTAAACCTCCTTTCAAGTCATACACTGCTTCCACGCAGTGACAAACATCCCACCATCACATCAATACCATGCGATAACCATTCATAAGCACCATAGCAACTTGTGCATAGCCTCAAAGCTCTCAAAAGTACGGCCACTAAGCTGAAACGACAGAATATCCTTCTGCAAGGTGACGACAATAGCCCAACCAACCACGCCGGGAAAAGCATCCCGCACCACATATGTAGTATCATTATAATTACCCACTTTTCGATTTATAACCAGTGCTTCGCGTTGCATAAGATTGAATGGAAAGGAAGTGAAGGCATAAGCCTCAATGGATCAAATCGCACGATGAGGAAATCAAGAAGGGAAGTGCTCCTAACAGCCCTGTAGTCTCTCGAAGATAATTACAGACGTCTATGTACCGGTCCGCGAGATTCTACTAGACTTGCTCATGACTCGTGAGACCTAGGGGAACCTGGTGCTCTAATACCATGTTGTCACGACCCAAAATCCACTAAGGGTCATGATGGCACCGGACACCACTGTCAGGCAAGCCAACACCAAGAAGTTAATTAAATTCCCATTTTTTGTAATTATTTAAATCATTCCTTTTATACATTAAACAATAAATAATGAAATTCACTGAATAAATAATGATGTCTTTAACAAACTTAAATATTGAATAATCTCATAGTTATCCCAGAACCCGGTGTCACAAATGCATGAGCAGTTTTTAGGATAAACAAGATATAATACAATAACTGGCCGGAATACAAATTGGACAGAAAGGAAATCACAATACAGTACTCTGAAGGAGACTCTGCCCGCTGCGGGTCGTCTCGAGAGGTGCAGCTCACCTAAGTCTCCGTATCAATATACCGTTGCGCTTGACTAGGCCACTAGTCATACATGTTCCTGTGCAACAAAAATGCATAACAAGTGTAGTATGAGTACAAAAACAATGTGTACTCAGTAAGTATCCCGCCTAACCTCGAAAAACTAGTGACGAGGGGTCGACTCCGACACTTATTAATGGTCCAATAATATTGGTACAGTAATGGAGTGAATAAACATGAAACAGGGTAAATATATGAAATAAACAAGTATGAAACACGTGATACAATTCCCCCTCTTTATAATTTTACTCAAGCTCTCAATTAGCAAATTCCCTCCGTAACCGGAGCATATATATAGATATAGTGGATTTCATTAAGGAAGTTGTCATAATTCAAATCAGGAAAAGATCCCTCAGATCCACTGGCTTCTAGCCAAATGTCACGCACGATTGCATATAGATATATATATATATATATATAGGAAACACGAGGCGTACGACTCGATCCAACATAAAGTAAATTGTGCACTGCCAGAGAGTCGAATGGCGCGAACCATAGATGCATCTATTTCCGCGCTCGCGAATCATACATGCGACGCGGTCCCCGCTCGCGAATCATACATGTGACGCGGTTAAATATAAATTTAATAAATTACCCCACTCGCGAATCATACTTGCAAGGCGGTCAAATATAAATTTAATATTTAGGTCATATCTCTTTCTTGAATTCTTTTTCAAAATAATGGAAATTCATCTTGAAACTTTTTAAGTAATTTACCTCGCTCGTAAAGTATACATGCGACGCGGTTACCCATAGATTTCTTAAGCTACTATAAGATTTCTCAATTCTTTTAGAATATACTAAGTTTAATGGAAACGCTTAAAAGCTTAAATTCTCCATTTAAATTCCTTTCAGCATAATTATTACGCAACCTCAATCTTATTTCTCCTCAAGGCAAACAGTAAACATATAGCAACAACAATATCAACAAGGCATAATATAGCCTAAAACTACCCAGACATAGGCATAATAGTAGCTACGCACGGACTCTCTTCACCTCGTGCATACGTAGCCCCCACAAATAGGAGCACATATTCAATTATTTCACCTATGGGGTTAATTCCCTTTTACAAGGTTAGAAAGGAGACTCACCTCGCTCCGAAGATCTATAACCGGCTCCCCAAGCCCTTCCGGCGACTCAAATCTATGCACCACGCTCCAAAACTAGCCAAATAAAGGGGCAAACCAATGAAAATACACCCTAATACTTATAACAATTCATTTATATAAATTTCCAACCCCGCTCGAGAAGTTGACAAAATTGCCCCCGGGGCCACGTGCCCGAATTCCGAAATTTGTCGAAGATAAAGTTTACCCATAACCTCACAAACTCAAATACATAATTTAATCTCAATTTCATGCCTAAAATCGTGGTCTAAATCCAAGAATTCAAATTTCTAGGTTTTCCTCAAACTTTCAAATTTTTACTACTTTCCATGCTAAAACATATACATAATCGATGTATTTATCTCAAACTAGTATAAACCACTTACCTCATGCTTGGTGGTGAAAATGTCACTCCTAAGTTGCTCCAAATCCGGCTCCCATGGAGGAAATGGGTTGAAATGAGCCAAACCCCCGTTTTAAAGAAACCTCACTGCCTCCAGCCTTTTCGCACATGCGGTCACTTGGTCCTCTTCTGCAGTCCCGCAGGTCCGGACCAAGCACCGCTTCTGCGGTCCAGGGATCCCAGCCCATTGCTGCTTTTGCATCCTCTTCTCCGCAGGTGAGGTCCCGCTTCTGCGGTGCGATGACCACATCTGCGGTCCCAACTCTCCCCACCAAAATCGCATTTGCGACTCAGGGCCGCTTCTGCGGCTCTGCACCTGCAGCCCAAGCCTCGTAGGTGCGGTTACACCAGAAGGCAACTCAATTCTTCTTCTAACTCCAAATTCGATCCGTTAACCACCCGAAATCCACCTGAGGCCCCCGGGACCCCGTCCAATCACACCAATGAATCCCATAACATAACGCGGACCTGCTCGAGGCCTCAAATTACATCAAATAACGCTAAAACCATGAATGACACTCCATTTCAAACTTGATGAATTTTAGAACTTCGAACTTCTTCATTCGATGCCGAAACCTATCAAATCACCTCCGATTGACTTCAAATTTTGCACACAAGTCATATTCGATATTTTCCGGAATCGATTTCCGACCCTGATATCAAAAAGTCCACTTCCGATCAAAACCCTTCAAATTTCTAACTTTAGCCAAATGACTCCAAAATGACCTAAGGACCACCGATCGCGCTCCCAATACCAGAATCACCATACGGAGCTACTCCCAGACTCGGAATCCCAAACGGACATCGATAACACTAAAAGGCACTTCAACCCAACTTATGAAATTCTTCCAAAATGCTAACTTAAATAATAGGCGCCGAAACACTCCCGGGTCATCCAAAACCCGATACGGATATACGCCCAAGTCCAAAATCATCATACGAACCTGTTGGAACCTTCAAATCCCAATTTCGAGGTCTTTTACTCAAAGATCCAATCCTTGTCAATTCCTCCAACTTAAAGCTTCCGAAATGCGAATTCTCCTTCCAAATCAGCTTCGAACTTCCCGGAATTCAATTCCGACCATGCGTACAAGTCATAATACCTTAAATGAAGCTGCTCATGGCCTCAAACTGCCGAACGACGCACTAGAGTTCAAAACGATCGGTCGGGTCATTACATTCTCTCCCACTTAAACATACTTTCGTCCTTGAACGTGCTGAGAACTGTACTGGAGTTGTCCATAATCATTATTCAACACCTTGAGTACCTACCCGTGCTACCACAGCTCAGTTGAGCACATTAACTTGATCACATATGAAGATATTCTCTTTTATTCAACAAATAAGCTTAGAACCCAGTTCCAACACCCAGCATTTTCTGCCAGGCCTGCCTCCGATATATGAACACCGTATCAATCACTACACGATGTACCAGAACACGACTTCATACCTTTGCTGAATTCTCACCATGCGCCATATCATTCACATGACCATAATAACATTCTCTGATAATAACAACCGGCATTCCATGAATCTGATGCTCACAATGCACCTCATGACATGTATAAGTCTTATTCCAACTCTTACAATACCGCCATGACGGAGGAGACGTGTAGAAATTCATAACCAACTGCCGAGTCGACCAACCGTTGAGGCTATACTCTTGACAAGAATCATTACCTCATTCTGAACCAAATAATGGTATTTGCTCTTTAATATACTTAGTATAATCCGATTGCACTGATCCTAGATCCAACAATCTCGTCTCACCCAGTATAAGCTGCTCAGGCAATAAGCCACCCCAGACATAACTAGACGTCTCATATGATGCCAAAATGTGCCGATAGGCCACAAACTTGAACGTGATACATGAGGAAAACGAACTCTGGAAAGGGCTACTCAACCCACGTAACTACTTAGACGACCGAAAGGTGACATGAACCTTCCTCAGAAAATGGAAAACAAAACACACAAAATAGAACATAAGGGACTGCACTCAACATCAAACTGTTGCGGCGTGCAACCCGATCCAAACAACATACCCGTGGCGGCGTGCCATCCGATCCATACATAGAACTCACATAAGGAGATACACACCGAGCTAAATTGCTTATTACTACTAAATACCGAATATCGGTTGCAAGCACGTTAAGTGCATAATACCATCCCTAGGGAGACAGATAGCGCCATAAGTTACAAAACTCAAGCACAACTGAGGTGCAATATATAGTCTGAATCACAAGAGCCATCCTGCTCACATAACACCATTGCTACGCAGAACCTCAAAACATAAGAAATTCATCAAGCTGTTTGACAACTCGCATGCCCCAATATAGCATTGCATGAAATAGCCTACGACGAAATAACATCCAACGTCCGAATACTCCTTCATAAGGAGCGCTATGCTGAAATGAACACATCCGGCCCGATATAGAGCCCACCTTCATATTTAAATCCATCCACAGACCTCAAGCCGATTCGGACCACACCGTACTAGGCAAATAACCTTTCAAGGGTCCATAAATACCTCTTTTTCCTATAACTTAGAGGAACAACCACCATAACCGGAGTAAACCTCCACGGTCCACAACCCAATAAATCGAGTGCCCTTCAGGCATAAATTCTCAAATTAGTGATACTACCACAATCTTCATACTTGGTTTAAATCTTCAATCAATCAAGTGACTACATGTCGCACTTATACAATCTTCCCGTGAGGTACGCTCCCACGACCTTCTGCACTAGATAACGAGTCTGCACATCCATAACACCGGTCACCCAGATGTTGTAAAGCATAATAAGAATCTGCAACCAAGATGCAAAGCCTCCTACAGAAACACCGATCTCAGGTGACGCCGAAGACAATACCAGCTTACTCTAAACATCCCAATCCTTTTCTCTGCTCATCCGAGCTCGTGACCTCCTTGTCAACACCGAACCGTAACCTTGATCCTCACTTCCAAATTTCATACCATTCACTGCACCTAACATACCAATAGGCGATAGCGCCAGAATTTCATCATAACTCCTGAACCACTAATAGGGTAAACACTTCATCACCTAGAAACTTTTTACTTAACTCTTTCCAAGAGAACCATAGCAACACGCGAGAAACTTCTCATAACCGTAGAACATTCAAATCCACAAGTAGTGGTCTAAACTACCATAACCCTTTCGGGGCCCGACCACACATAACAGGCCATAGTACTTGAATATTCCCAAATAAAATTAATTACGGCGGCCGTCGAACCTCGCACGTACCGTCACAAATCACATGTATAACTTATTCACGCTGAAGAAACTGATCACCGCCACCATTGTGCCAATTCAACTACGGCTAACCAATCTAACTTCTTCTAATTCACCCTTAACTTGCCTTACAGATAATAATGACTCCATTTAGCCCATAACGAACTCAATCCGCACTCATCCCGAGTGGCCTTGTATCACGAGACCATGCTGTCTCAAATCCCACGAACCATCTCATACCTTCCTTATGCGCACATTCGCATCCTCAACTGATATGCCCATTCTGATAACTTCACTACGAATCCAAAGTCATTTCCTCTCATTCTTCCAAATGCTACACTACAAGTCGAAAATATCATAGAACATCCCGAGCCTCTTATCGGATAGCCAGTAGAATCCTTCGCAGAAGCTTTGCCAACCATGCGACCACCGATCTGCTCACAGGAGACAACCCACCTGTGGAAATTACGCGCCGACATCTTCCAACGTCGCTGCACGGGGTACAATCACTACGACATCAGTAACTCATCCTGAGTCCGTACTCATTCACCAATTGTACTAGTCCGTTCACTTCTTATGGACATCAACTAAATGTGAGACAATATCTGTCAATTCAAAGTCATAATGTATCCTTCTTCATATCAAATAACTTCTTTCTGCCGTATCAAATCTCCCGCCATATAATAGCCGATTGTCACGATCCAAGTTCTCCCTCCATGAACTGTCATGATGGCACCTAGTCTCTACGACTAGGTAAGCCTAACAATTTGCGGAAAATGAATTAAAGGTACAAAACTAGCCAACTAACAGGTAAATATAAATAAAGTGTTTAAAATGCCGCTCGACATATACCATAATAACACTCCCAAATACCAATAATAACACTCCCAAAACCCGGAATCTCATAAATCACAAGCTAAAGAAATACATAGTGTTCTAACTCAAAAAATCAAAACAAGGAAAAATACAAGAAGTCTATAACTGCAGGGAGAATAGAGAGGGACTTCTAGGTCTGCGGACGCGGAAGATATACCTCGAAGTCTCTAGATCCCCTCGCCTCACGGATAGTATGGCTGAGCCGAAGAACCTGGATCTGCACACGAAAAACATATGCAGGAAAGGGCATGAGTACACCACAGCATTACCCAGTAAGTGCCAAGCCTAACCTCGGTCGAGTAGTGACGAGGAAGGTTAGGGCCCTACCGGTTATATATATAACAAGGTAAAATAGTATGAAATGTGACAGTATAATTGAAATACTAATAGTCAATAAAAATGAAAATCACAGAAAGGAATAACTCAGTACACAGAGATATAGACAGGGGATCTCCCAAGATAACGTTCCGTAGTCCCAAACGTAAATGTGCAGAGGATCTCTTGAGATACCGTCCCGTAGTCCAAATCATAAATGTGCAGGGGGATCTCCCGGAATACCGATCCGTAGTCCCAAAATAAATATCCAGTACAGGGGGATCTCCCGGGATACCGTCCCGTAGTCCCAAATATAAATGTGCAGGCGGATCTCCCAGAATACCGATCCGTAGTCCCAAAATAAATACACAATAGTATCAACAAGGAATTTTACCGTTTTATTCAAGTTCGTATCAAGAGGCAGGTAATTCCTACTCTAAACATGCTACACAGAATCCAAGTAAAGTAGTTAAAGCAGATAAGAAAGTTAAGTCACATAAGCATGCTTTCCTAAGCTAAACAGGAGGCTTCAAATACTAGTATTTCTCAATTAAAGGAAAACACAGATATTTAATTAATGGAAAATGGGGTTTTCAACAATTTGCACGTGTACGCACTCATCACCTCACGTACACGGCATTCATATAACAACAGTATCAAAATCCTAAGGGGAGTTCCCCCACACAAGGTTAGGCAAGCCACTCACCTCGAACCAGCTCAAAATCAATCCGATAACACGCTCTTGCCACGAGTATCCAACTCTGAGCGGCCCGAATCTAATCAAATCAATTACTTAACGTAAATAAAACTACAAGCAACTAATTTAACTAATGAATTTAAAGCTACGACGAGAAATTAGAAAGACGCCCAAAACTCCTCCCCGGGCCCACAT